CTGCAGCGGAGTTTAGACCCAGACACGGCTAGTGACGTCAGACTGAACAACCGGATAAGATGTTAGTATGTTGCTCAGAAAGGATATTCATTTTTTTCCAGCCATTTAAAGACACAGAGCTTTATTTTCCTCTATTTGCATAATTCAACCCTTGCTACAAATCTGAATCTAATTTGAAGTCAGAAATATGGTGACAGCTCATGACCATATGTGTAAGCTCACATGAAGTGAGCTCTGAAGTCATGCTTGCAGATGTCTACCTGTCTGCAGTGGATTCAAAAGAGCTGAATTCATCTTAAATCTATGTAAATCCACTACAAACACACCAATGTGAACACTTAACAGTTAAATACAAAATCTTTGGCAAAGGCGTAAACATGCTGCACATTCATTAAAAATGCATTGTCCATTAACTATAACATTACAGACAGAAGATGCTTCTTTATTTATTTTATTTTATTTTTTACCATCAAACGACATATGATATTTGTGATTTTTAGCATCTTGGACATCCTGCACATTTCCACTCTCATTTGGAAAAACCTGTGCACTATCTGGTGCATTCCTGCAGCAATTCTTCAGAACACCTTTATCTGTCTTCAGAGGTAGCAAGTCTGTTGGCACAGTCACTTCCAGGACAAAAATATTAAGAATCTAAAAAAATACTTTTGATGTGAAAAAAAGAAAACTGCTCTTTAGCCTTTCAGTGTAACAATACCAAATGACCTAAATAAAATTATAATTGTTTTCACTTTTTTAACATGCACCCCCTTTTTGAATGTACAGATATACAGAGGAGAAAAAATATATTACAAATTCAGGACAAATGCTCCAGATTGCTGTAAAAAAAAAGTCACAAAATGCTGAGCGTTTTCTTTATTAACTGTAAAGTAATGTTAGATAACAGCCGGAACTTTAATATGGTATATAATATAGTCCTATGTAAATGCAGTTAGGTGTGTACCAGTTTTAAACACTATTAACGTACATTTTCATCAATCCCCATTAATCAAACAGCAAAAATTTTAAAAAATAGAAAATACGATATTGAAGCCGTACGTTAATCCACAAAAACATATGGGAGTCATCCAGTAATGCCAATAATATATTGTTTTTCTTTTTGCTTTATCCGCTGTATATGTGCAGCATGTTTAAATACAGTAAGTCAAAGAGCTGATTGATGTAAGAGTTTGTTTTTTTTGACTGACGCCTGAGGTTGAAAACACACTATTTCAGTTTCCTCATCCAAGTTATTAAAAATGTATGCAAACTCTGGTCTAGTCTTTTTATTGCACCTGAAGTCATGACCTCCCGGGGAAGAAAGCTCGCTGTAAACTGGCAGGCAGCTGGATTTAAATATGAAAAATAAATCTCCACGAGTTTAAATGCAGACATGAAAAATTAGTCATACAACACGAGGAGTCAAGAAAGAGGTAACAACATGTGTTGGTATATAAACATTGGCCCAGTGGTGATTTCGCCTGACGCAGTAACATTAAAAAGACGTGATGACCAGTGACCACGTTAACTGGTGGTTTTACTCTCATGTGCTGGAGTGGCCACACTGCCTCTTTTACTGTGTGCTGGAGTCTTGTTCACTTTGCCATTCATCCCCTTAAGGTTGTACAGCCGGCTGAAACTCAAGTTAAATGGAGTTCTCCCATCCTGCACTTCCGGTCCAGATGCCGTCTGGTTGTGAGACTGAGTACTGAGCTGGATCTGTGGGTTCATATGGAATAAGGAGGAGTTTGGATAAGGAGTTTGGTTCTGTGCTGCTGAATCCTGGCTCTGCTGGCTTTGGGAGACCCGTTTCCGTCCGGCTATAGATCCCACAGTACCCGTCACCAGTGGTTGCGGTGGTCTGGTTGACGTTTTGTGAAGAGATGACATATTATCAAAGAAATTCGGATTACGTTGGACCCTCTGTTTTTGAGGTTTGGGTGAAGCGTGTGAAAGCTGCAGAAAAAAGAAAGACAGAGGAGATGTCTGACTCAGGGTGTGTGTAACACTTCTGCAGCCAACAGTTTCTCATATTTAATCTATTATATGTGGGGCAACTTATCTATAATGCAGTGTAGGATTCTTACACTCACACACGCATTAGCAAGTGACATATAAGCTTTGTTGCAAATGGAAAAGAGAGGGTGCAAAGTGTCTGTGTTATTTTCACGTTCATTAATATTACACGACTGAAATAAGCTAAAACATGCAAACAACACTTCACTGACTCAGACTGAGTACTCTGAGATGAAAGGCAGTGGATTCGGGGCAAGAGTGAGTGAGTTAAACACCAATAAATGTGAAACCTATTCATCTTTTAGACTCCTTTAAATACTCTATCAGTGCAAACACGCACAGCACGTCATTATAAATATGCCACCTTTATTTGCACGAGGCATCCTTCTTCAATAATGAACAAAGAATGGTTGTGCTGCTGTGTTTCAACTTAGTGATGCTCTGCTGGTGAAAGGTTCATGGATCAACACACAAACACAGAAACAAATGCTGTAAATTATATTACATAGGATTTCAATTATATACAGTACTGTGCAAAACTCTTGATCCAACCCTGAATTTGTTATATATTTTGTACTCTTTTTTTTTTAAGTGATCTTGAGCAATAGTTCTTGAGGCTCTAAGAGTCTTTCTTTGAACAACGGCTACTTTTCACATGTTTAACAATAATGGAGCCTAAAGAGCTATAAGCCAAAAAAGAATATGATGTGCAGTGTGAGGAACAGTATCTGAAAGTCATGTCCTTCAGAAACAGGGGGGATCCAGCATAAACCTGAGAGAAGCTGGGCCTTCAATGATCTACTGTTCACTGAAGCCTCATCAGAAATGGCCTCAATGGAAAGGTGTCTGTCAAGAAGCCATTCCAGAAGGGAAGCAGAGAGAATGGGCTGAGATATACAAATCACATAATAACTGGACTGAAAATCAGGGTCAGCAGGTCTTATAGAGTGATGAGTCCAAATTTGAAAATTTAGTTTAAATCATCATGAGCCAGCTGAGGTGCAAGGTAAAACAGTAAGTCTACACGGTGGAGGCGCTGTCACGGTTTGGATCTGAATTTTAGATGGTGGGGATCTTACTGGAACTGATGGAATTTATGAATGCAGAAAAAAATCCACCATGCATTACCTTCTGGAAAGCATTTTATTAGCATGACAATATGACAACGATCCAAAACACACTACCAAGGCAGTAAAAGAATACCTGATTAAAGCCCAGAGCTCACACCTTCAAGTTATTGAAGCAGTATGGGATCATCTTGACAGAACAAAAGAAAAGGCAGCCAACATCCAAAGAAGCCTGGAGAACTATTCCTGAAGACTACTTCAAGAAATTGCAGAAAGGCTGCCTAGCAGACTTCAGACTGTGTTGAAAAAAACATGCAGTCATATAAATGTTCAAAATTAGAATTGTGCAAACTCTGTTTTTGTTTTATATACTTTTCCTGCCCAAGCATAAAGAAATGAGGGGCGGCTCAAGACTTTAGCACAATACTGTATGTTATTAAAGCCTTTCACATTCAATTTTTCTAAACTTTGATGAAACTTAATATAAAAAACTGTCAGTGAAGAACAAAAAGGCACTTTGATAAATGCACTATTTCAAGTTTCTTTATATAGCACATTTCATATGACAGGCATAGACTTAACAAGCTTCAAAGCAGAAGGAAAAAGGACATCACACATGGCAAAAACTTCTAAAATAAGAGAATGAATGGTCTGTATTTGTATAGCGCTTTACTCAGTCCCTAAGGACCCCAAAGTGCTTTACACATTCAGTCATCCACCCATTCACACACAGGTGCACACAGCACTGACAGCGCCACCAGGCCCTCCACCACCAGTAGGCAACGGGTGAAGTGTCTTGCCCACGGACACAACGACCGAGACTATCAGAGCCGGGGCTCGAACCGGCAACCTTCCGATTACAAGACGAACTGCCAACTCTTGAGCCACAATCGCCTTTTACACTTTAAAAAGGGATTTTGATCAGCAGGATAAAAAATATAGGAATAAAAATAACACTGATCCTGAAAAATTTCCCCATTGATCACACACGTGCAAAAAGAGATACGCTTTGAGTCTCTTTTTAAAAGAACACACTGGTGTAGCAGTAGTAGTTGTAGTAGTAAGTGGTAGAGTGGGACCATAAAACTAGATGATTTAGAAATCATTCAGTATTTGCTTTGTGATTCAAGCGATGCCAGGAGGTCTAGATTCAGTAAGCACACCGACAGAGTGAAAAGAGGCTGTCATTCATCGATTTTACAAGCAGTGAGAAATTATTTTACTGGGAGGCGAAGAGAAGAAGAAATAAGAAGGACGTTTAAACTTTTTGGTTTTATTTAAGACTCTCCCTGCAGCACTGCCGTCAGCTTTCAGGCCCCACTTCTGTGGAACCAACTCCCAGTTCAGATATAAAAGACACCCACCCTTTGTTACAGCTTATAGTTACAGCTGGATCAGATGACCCTGAATCCTCCCTTAGTTACACTGTAATAGGCCTAGACTGCTGAGGGCTTCCTATGATGCACTGATTCTTCTTCCCTTATTTCTTTTCATTCTATGTGTTTAAAGACATCTCTGCATTTAATCATTAGTTATTAATCTCTTACTATGGCTCTCTTCCACAGCATGTGTTTTATCTTGTCTACCACCCCTCACCCCCAACCGGTCACACCAGATGGCTGCCCCTGCCTGAGCCTGGCTATGCTTGAGTTTTCTTCCTGTTGAATGGGAGTTTTTCTTCCCTGCTGTCGCAAAGTCAATGTTTGACTGTTGAGGTTATTCCTTTGATTTGGTGAAATATAATTATGCATATATTTACTTAATACCTGCATTGTTACAGTAGGAAAAGGTGCATAATTTTCTATTGAAAATAAAAGCATCAGAAAAGGCTGAGACTGTGACAGGAAGCACCTACAACTGTAGATATGTTGTTTTTAAAGATGATAAAAGGCCGGCTTAGAGATAGTGAGCATGTGCTTCTACAAGCTAAGATCACACCCACATTTTTGGCATGCTTCGGGTTTTTTCCGTCACGCAAGTTAACACAGAGTAAAGCCTTGGGATCTACTAAAACATTTATTTTGCCCTCATTTAGTTGTAAAATACATTTGGGCATCTAATTATGAACCCTGGCAATGCAATGGGTGCGTTTCTTCAAGAGACTAAGGATGTTGGCGGATACAGATATGCTTACCAAGGCTCCAATGGAAGATTGACACCACTTTCATGTTTGCATACTAAACAGTTTCAGCTGCTTAGCTCAGCTTAGCACAGAGACTGGAAACAATGGACATACAGCAGCAACTAAGTGTCTCAAGGTCACCAATTGAAAAACTGTGTTTTTTTTTTAAATTAAGTTGTCAAAGAAGGAAAAATGTGTTACCTTAATTTCAATTAATTAGTGTGATGGTTCTGTTTTTTAACAAAATCCAGTTGTATATATACCCATTTGGATATGATTGGCAAACTAAAGAAACGTTTTGTTGGTTTTAAATATTATTCTGATCAGTGCTCATACCTTCTGTCCCTCTGTCTGCCTCTTTGACTGGGGGCTCGCTCTCCTCTCTGTACCCCTGGGTCTTATTTCCACCTGGTTTGAAGCGTTCTCCCTCCCCTCTCTGTCTGGTCTCCCTCCCTCTGTTGATTTAATGTCACCAGCGGACGATCGCTTTGGCTTTGATCTCTCTTTACTTGACCCTCCTGCAGTCATTCCTCCATCCACCAGTCTGTCTGCAGCTGACTGGCTCCTTGCCACCTTTCTCGTAGGCGTTTGGACCTCTTTGTCTTTTCCTCCTGTTTCAGTTGAATCTTTGCCTCGTTTAATTTGCACCATTATTCTATTAGTATCCTCACTGCCTCTCATCTCTGTCCCCTGGGATTCTTGCTCTTCCCTCGTCTCGGCCACACTCAGTTTCCTCCCATGTTCGTCCTCTTCACTTGCTTCTTCTTCACTTGCCTTGTTCTCTACCTCCCTAGTTTCCACTTTTTTTCCAAGTAAAGAAGAACTGGGGACTTTAGCGGCCCCAGTCAAAGTCTGTGTTTCACTGTGTGCCGTACCTAATGTAGCATCACTTGAGCTGTAATTTATGTGTGCAGGACCGGTGCCAGTGGCGGGAGAATTTAGACTATTTGTGTGTGCGAAATTAATGTGATCCGCTATCATCCCCTGGTCACGAGAAGCCATGTGGTCAAAAACAGGCTCATTAAAAAGCGAGTCGCTACATTCATAATACTCTTCAGAGGTGGTGGAGAGAGTGGAGTCCTCTCGTGAGGAGATATAACCATCAAAAATGTCTGGCGATAGAGAATCCAAGGCTGGCGTGCGTGGAGAAAATCCATCAGGAGTGGGAGTGTGTGCTTTAAGCGACTGTGATCGGTGCACAGGTGTTTGCGAACGGAAGTCCGGCAGGTGTGTTTCGGTGAGGTGTAAACGCAGGGCTTTTTCGGGCGTGTGTGTGCCAACACGTCCTGTAGAAGTTTGTTCTTGAAAGGTGCTGTGCGTGTTGTGATTTGCAGTATTTCGCATATTAACCTCATTGTCTACATGTGTGAGTCTTACTTGTTCACCTTGCTGGCTGTGGGTGTCTGTAGCAGATGTGTGTGCGCCATCGCCGTTATGAGGTCGCAGACATGAGGTCGAGAACACTGGCGCTGTCGAAGAATTCAGAGCCTCCATCTGATCCATGTCCTGTGGTTTAGAAAATGATATCCTTTGGGGTTCATGTACTCTTGCGAGAAATGTTCTGCACTGTGTCACATTTTCACCTTTTCTGTCTGACACGTCACCAGATTCAGAGCCTGTCAGAGTCCTTTCAGGGCTCGCTGTATCTGCCTGCGCTGTTGCTATACAGCGTGCGTCCATCTTCCCAATAATCCTGCAATCTTTGGAAGTTTTGAGGTCAACATCTTTTGGAATGATTTCTTGAATTTTCAATGCAGCTGCCTTTGGTGCATCATTAATCAAAGCGTCTGACTTGTGCAGCTCGCTTCCAGCGACCGTCTGGGATGCTGCTCCGTCATCGTCTTGCTCATCTGCTTCCACACTTGTCTCTTTAGATTCTTGCTTTGAAGTTTCTTCAGGATTCCCTGTGTTCTCTGTGTCTTTTTGTGCCCCTGCCTTACTGGTACTGTCGTCCTGCAGCTCAGGGACAGTTTGACACTCTTTTACCAGAGATGTCTGCTCAACAGCTGCCACATCAAACGCACTGTGGGCCACGAGGGGCCCTGTGCTGGCCTCGGGCCTCCTAACAAGACGGATCTCCGGCAGTTTCTGCCCATTGCTGGTGCTGCTGTCACTCATAACTATCTGTATGGTACGAGGTTTAGGGATAGGGGGAGCTGGGGTCAAAGAAGAGGATGCAGGGAGGGGTGGATTTGGTGTTGTAACGGAAGAAGTTAGAGGAGGAAGGGCAGAGGAGCTGGTGGAGGGAACAGAAGCGCTAGAAGATGTGCTTGAGTGCACTGTAGTAATAGGAATGTGGTTATTTTTAGACTGTGTGGCAGAAACCAGGGAGGTGGAAATGTTGCTGTGGACAGTTGGAGTCTGGATGCTAGAAGCCACTTCAGTAGAGATTTGCGGTTGCTTGTGAACAGCTCGTGTTTGTGAATCCGCCTGTGGTGGTGGGGTCTTTTCTTTCGTACCTTGTTCTGTGTTTAATTCTGGGGAGTTGGGAATCTGAGGGGTGTGTGCACCGTTTGGTGTTGGGGTGTGTGTCCTGTGCACAGCAGAACTTTGTGTGCTCAATCTACTTGTAGGTTCTGCTTCCTTTTCTGTGTTTAATTCTGGGAGCGAGCCTGACTCAGCGTGACTGTTTGATGAGACGGGTTGTTCTGCGTGGGAAATCTTCCCCTCGTCAGAAGCGGGTGCTTCGCTGCTGGATTGGGGAAGTGTTTGTGCACCGAGGGGAGTATCAAGGCCTGCCTCTTGGTTAGTGGTTGTGCTTAAATCAAATTTATTCTTGGGGCTGACAGAATTAGCGGCGTCTGACTGCAGGTCAGACTTTTCCTCAGATGCAGGTGATTTCTGTTCAGATGCCTCTTTGTTATGTGTGACATCACTGAGTTGTGCTTGCTGTGCTTTTTCTACAGCATCATCAACCATGGATTTAGCCTGTGCTGGTTGGAGTGCATTCACCTCCTCTTGTTTAGGAGTCGCCTGTGTGGGCTTGGCGACTTCTTCCTTGGATTCCTTTGTGCTGCTGAATGGACTGCTAAACCTGATCGCCTGGCTGGTTTCAAACATCTCTGAACGCTGCAAGTGGACTTGAGTTGGTTTTTTGGCATCCCGAACATTAATGAACCCTATGACATCACTGGGGGGGTCAGGTTCTGGCCATGTGGGCAGGTATGCGATTAAGCATGCTTTTTCTAGATTTATTAATCCAGGATGGAGAGGAGGAGATTCTTTTGTCGATTCTTCACTAGCCTTGCCTCGCCTCTTCTTCTTGGAGTTCTCTGGATTTTGGGGTTCTTTGGGGCTTTCTTGGTTAACAGAGGTGGTGGGGCCGGGGTTGGTCAAAGCAACCAGGGCATATTTTGGGCTGTACAACTTCCTCGCAATCTCAGCAGAAGGGGGTATGACAGGGGCGGGCTGTGGGAGGGGTTCCGGCTCAGGTTCAGGCTCTGTGATGGTCTGCCGGAGGTCAACAGAACTGGAGGACAGATAGAGGAAGCGAAACAGTCGGTCGAAGCCATCCACAGCCTGGCCTGTAACCACGGTGATGAGATTCCTATCCAGACGCGAGGCCATCCAAGTGAAGCTGCACAAAAAACAAATATGAACAAATAAAAAATGCAAATTCAGACTTATTTAAACTGCACCACGATACCACAAAACAAACTACACTACACTGCAAGCATAATGAAGTAATCAGCAATGACTGCAAACGTAAAAGTATAACAGTCACTTAGGAACTGCACAGTTACTCTGGTAGATTGGATACATTTACAACCTGTTTGTCTGCTATGTCGACAAGCCATTGTTTATTTATCTCTTGTGCCAAGTTGGCAGTTTCAAAAGCAGGTGGAGCACAAGGGGATAATCTTTTTCTGACACATTCTCCCTCCTTCTCACACACGTGATGCGCACTGACCTGTACGACCCAGACACAGCTTTGTCTCCATCAACGAACATGAATCTGTGACCCATTCGCCCTCTGACCTTGGTGCAGGACCTCGTGTAGAACTCCGCTCCTTCTGAGCAGCGGACACGAAGGTGCTGAAACACAAACAAACACGCAATTTTTGTACATATTAAAGACCCAAAACTGCCTTCATAACCTGTGACCTGCATTATAGAATAAAAGGCTGCCAAACAATGTGAGTAGAGACCGTGAGTCACACTACGTCAGCCAAAGAACAATAACATCCACAAATAATAGTAATATCAAACATTTACAACTCAAATGTAGCCAATGTAGAATTTTCTTTTTTTGCTAACAAACAACTGTTTGCCTTAATAATAATCCCTAAAACATAGATACAGAAGTCATTAGCAGTCATTTTCCACTTACTGCCTTAATCTAAGGCAATTGCTCCATGTGTTCAAACATCTAAGCAATTACACAAACTACAGCCAGTGTAAACACTCTGCTTAAAACTTACACAACCCACATTATGATGTCTGGCTTGTCTTTACTTGATTTGAAAACCTATATTCCCCACCTTTGTTGGAAACTGTCTGTTTTTCATGCCTCTTAAAAGCACAGCATATGTGTTATAAAATAAGCCTTCTGAGTCAATTTTCCTGCACCTGCTTTTGCCTATAATGTGTTAAGGCTCAAAGCCTATAATGAAAATAATTATTCCTTTCAACAGAAAACATGTTTTCCTTCCATCTGTCCATTGTCATTAGCCATTTCTGGGTCCAATCACTTCTTCTGATCTCAAAATCAAACAAATGTTGAAATACCACTTAGGCTATGTTCACACTGCAGGTCTTAATGCTCAATTCCGATTTTTTTGATCAAATCCGATTTTTTTGTCTGCTTGTTCACACTACAAATAAAAGGTGACAGCAAACGCGCTCTAGTGAGAATCCTCAAAGCGGCCCGCATGCGCAAAAGAAGACGTCACACACACTGCACTCTGTTTCGATCCAGACCAAGCAGTATGGTTTGACTGATGGCTGTTAATATAAAGACTTGTTTCGGACTTTACGTTTCCCAATTTTTGCTTCAAGTTATTTTATAAAATGTAATAATTATCCTTATTGCTGTTTTAGAGAGGAGCGGTGCTTCAAAGGATTATACAGTACAAATAAAATGTTCACGTTTCTCCAACGTTGTCTTCTCAACAGTTTCACTGACATCTACACTGGATAACCAGGAAGCGTTCGCGATGTCTTCTCCGGAGCTGATAATTGGCGTCTGTCTTGTGTCCGTGACGTAAAAGATGGATTTAATGCGACATCATGACAGTTCAAACAGCAGTCGCTTTCTAAAAAATCGGATATGTATCGGATTCAGTACCACATACGAAAGTGACCCAGATCGGATTTAAAAATATCGGATTTGTGCCGTTCATACTGTCATACCATGATCGGATATGGGTCGCATAGCAAAAAAGTCGGATTTGATGCGCTTTCGCCTGCAGTGTGAACGTAGCCTTAGTGTTAAAAAAGTCTGTACTGTTTTTAGGTTAAAACACAATGATCCATGCGTTTATTTTCCCAGATGTTACAATAAAGTTTAACGTTCAGGTATCCATGACAAGAGGATTTATAAGGTTAGCTGTGTTATAAGCTAGCACAACATTAGCTAGCTAGTTTCTAAAGATGTTCGACCATGTTTTGACAGAGACAGAAAACTAAATAGTAGCAACATTTGGAGGGTTAGTGAAGTTGTGCTAGTTGGCACACAATTATGTCCTACCTCTGTGGCTAGCTACAGTGAAGAGGATTAGGCCCACCTGGGGGGGGGATGTGGCCACATCTTTTTTTTTTGCAGAATTCTGAGATTAAAGTCAGACTTCTGGAAAAGAAAAAAGACATGTCCACTTTTTTTTCTTTGTTTCTCCTGTGGCCCTAATCCTCTTCCATACTGCAGAGTTATGGTTAGGATAATATAAAACATTAGCACAGGGAAGATGGAGGATGAGTTAAACTGTTTTCAGTAAAAGTTCGCGGTTCCAGTTAGTAGAGACAAACGTCATAATATGGCAAATAGAAGATGACGAAAATGTTTGAAATTATTCATCCACAACAAAAGATTAGCCGTTAATATCCCAAACACATTGAATAGCAATCAACTTTTTCTCAGCAGCTAGTGGTGGCTGAAAATTAAAAAGAATAATTCCAAAATAAAAGTTGAACTGATGCCTTGGTTTAAGGTGCTTCTTAAACAATATCTGGATGTCCTTGTTAGACTTTCTATCAACAGTAATTTTGTGTTCAAGGATAGTTTTCTAAAACCTCTTCATCAATTAAAATTAAATGAATGAAATTTAAAAATGAAATGAATGAGAACTATAGATATTTACACTGACGGCTGTGGTGACTGAAACCTGTGACCTCATCACTTATCCTACTGAGCTTAATGGCACATTTGAATAATATCATTCCTGACTGTATGATGCTAACATTGTGGAAAGAGCCTGATGTTAGGTTCAACATGCAACAAATGAAATACAACAGAGGTATACAAAACTGTGACTACCTTAAAAGTGTCTATTTCTTAAAATCAGGTTGCAGTAATACTAGTTTGTGTACATGGAGAAGACCAAGTTGCATTAAAGTCTCATCACAATCATGTACTAAAAAAACAAAACAGAGACAAATGCCTTTCATTTCTTCTTTGCAGTAATCTGATCTACATTTCTTACTTTGTAAGAGACGGGCTGACGCAACAACTATTCTACGTGACACAACATCAACATCCATATATGTACGGTTCAGTTTCTGGCATCAATCATTGACAAGTTTTGACCAAGGAGATGACGCCGCAGTTTTAATCATGTTTGCTGGGTGTTGCTGCACGGTTTGGATTACTCACTAAAACAAACGTCTGATCCTGAGCTTACTTTCACTTTGAAATTTTGTTCAGACTGAAAGTGATTCCTTTCTGAAACGTTCAAATATTTGGAGTCTGGGACACCGTGAAGCCTGGGAGTTTTTAGAAACAGCTTAAAAACATGCTGTACATGAACAGTGCTAACAGAAAAACTGGAGCGCTTGAAAGTAACCACAGTAACTGAATCCTCACATCATCATCTAACCCAATGCACTTTCAGAAAGCAAAAGACAAATAGATACCAACTAAGCCTATGCAATCTCTGTGCATATGCATGTGCAAACATGACCTCTGTGAAAAGCCTGTTTTCAACTATACACCAAACATATAAAATAATGTATGTTGCAATGCTAACATTTAACCAGTGTAAGGTTCATAATAACTGAATGGTACAATATCATTGTTGCAATCATAAACTGATATTAGAAAGTCTGACTCAGTCAAACTTTTCAGAGTTAAATGTTGCAAATATTTTTTATCCTAATACTTGCATGGTGATATTGTATCAATACAGGAACACTAAATATTGATATTTTATTAAAGAAATTAAAATATGGTGGGAACGCTGTGAACAAAAGGCACATGCAACACTACCACCCTAAAAGTACCCCAAAAGGTGCTTTTAGGGTGTTTTTCTTCATTGTCTGTAGTGTTTAAGAGCTAAAAGTCTGTATAAAACTAGTTTAAAAAACATGGTTTCCTTCCATCACTTTTCTACATCACTAGCTGCTTGTCAACTCTGTTGTCATTGACCATTTCTAGGTCCAATTGCTTCTTCAGTTCTCAAATATTAAGATACCGCTGAGTGTTAAAAACAATTTATTTCGTTTCAGCTCCAACAAAAAGATCCCAGTTGTTACAATAAAAAAATAAAGGTTTAGGTATCCATGAACAGGTTTACAAAGTTAGGCAGTGCTATAAGCTCGCAGGACGCAAGCAAACTCTCATTAAATCGACTGAACTGAAAGACCATCTGACAGACTTAGCCTCCTAATTTGCAACAAGCTAATACCTAAGTTACATGATTAAACATAGGACATCAATCTCCTTGCATCTACAAAATAAGAAGAAGAAAAAAGCGTGGCTTCCTGGTGACAATATTGAATTTTTTCACATTCTGCGACCGAGTGCAACTTGTGGTGACTCAGTGGTTGCCCAGAGATTGAGGGTGTTGCACTCATGACCATGTGGACTGACTGAGGTCACTCTCAGAGAGATTGTTGGAGGTTTGCAAAGAATTGCTGTCTAATTTATAAATGCAGACAGATTGCCAGCATGTTGCCATCAGTCTGATTGAGTTTTTGTCAATGAGTGCAACTTGAGGGACTCGACTCAACAGGCTGCCAGCTGGTTGGATTCTGGTTATATTCATGTAGAAGAAGAAATGTTCATGTATTAGTTAAATGTGAATTTCAATCTATGTAGACAGCAACACATATATATTCATGGATGATTTATCACAGTTAATTGTTGTATTATCCAAAAAAGAATGCATGGAAGTGTTAGACTGACAATCTCATTTTACAAACATAATACAGTAACGTTGGAGAGAGAAAAAAAAAAATCACACCATTACACATATTGACCTTAAGTTGTGTGGTTCTTGTTGTCGTTACTCAGCAGTACATAAATAAGCTCCATAAGCCCAGCAAGGTGTGTAACAGACCCTCAAGTCACCTTGACACACTAGTCCTTTGGTTTGTTGTAAGTGTAGACTTACACTGTCTGATCTGGGGATTTTCAGCCTGCCCTTCCGGATGCCTTGATACAACTTTGAGTGCTAAGTCTGTCTGAAAGCCACATGATGCAGCCAAAACATCATGCAGTCAGTCTTCTTGTTTCAGCTCCTCCTCGTTTCTTTTTTTCTGGCATGCTTTGTCTCACAGTAGAAACACTTGTTTTCCTCCTTCGTTTAGGCACACCCTAAACTTTCTCCTTCCCCCAGTGCATTCCTTTGGTTAACCGATTCGATAAATTGCATTGCACGCTCCAAGTTCATGACGACGAGCATTTGAGCAGTTGTTCAATGCATTTTATGCGGAAATAAAACCACCTCTGAGTGCACTGTGGTTTCAACAGTCTCTACAGTCAATGTGCACGCTTTGCTAAACTACTTAAATTAAGCTCTGTCAGCTTGAAGTGTGGCAGTTGGATATTTTCCTAGAAAACCTTCCTGAATAACTGATGGGTAAGAAGAATTTAGTACCTTATTGCCCACTCAGGTGCCAGATTCCACTTACTCTCACTCACTTGGCAACTCATTTCACCACTCATCTGCTCCTCCTCCCATCCCTCCCCTCCAGCCGCTCTATCTCGTCACTTACGGCTTGTGGTAAATTCCCAAACTATCACCTGTTTCCTGCAAGTCATCCTCTGATTGTCTTTCTTGACAGACTTGTCGCTTTTAGAGATGTTTGTGTTAGCTGCTCATCGTCGTCACGTACTCCTGTCTCCTGGCTCTTCAGATTTTCCACATAGATGAGCATCTATTGGTGCACTGTTAATGTTAATGTCATAAATGGCTATGTAGTTTTACTTGGTGAAATAGGCCCCACGCCAAAGGTTGCCTGCCAGTATAACAAAGCAGCAGTATATGACACATCAGGGAGCAAGCCCCTCCAGTGCACTTCATAGGAGAACCTAACAGACTCGCAGTGTATGACTAAGAGAAAGGAAGCACGCTGGCTGTCAAACAAACAAGATTGTGTCCTACTACACTGGATCCATCTCTTAACAGCGTTGTTTTACTTGCTGCAGAGCCACCGTGGATTAAACAGAATAGCAGCTTTGCATGTCATTTTAAAACTCTCTGTCAGGTGTACAGTGTACGCTCCTGTTGGCTAAAACCAGAGAGTGACCTACCTGAAGGAGATACACTTGTCTCTCCATAAATATTAGAAGAGACTGTGGCACAGAATGTCTTTTCTTCATACAGAGCCACTGTGCTATCAAATATTTAATTTAGCAGAGCAACTTCAGCCTGTGTGTCTACTGTGAAGCAAGTAGGAGTAAATCTGTTAAAGACAGATTTTCAGTGCTTATGAATCTAAAGCAAGAAAAAGGTCTGGGACGTCTTAGTAGGAAATAATAACATGGCATTTAATTCAAAAGGCAAATGCAGCGAGTATGAATCGCATATGAAAAACTCATTAAACCGAGCAACCGCTTTCACTTATCATGTCATGTGCCACACAAACATGTGCTTTTGTTGACAAAGCAAACACTGCTGCTATTGAATTTCTTGCTGTTTTGTTGGCAAATTGGATCCAGATGGTACTGAAAGACTGTCAAGCCTGTTTAACTTTAGTTACTCTGAGGCATAAAGTGACAAGTGTGAGTGTTTGTGCATCTTTTCTTATCTGCATGATCTGCACGCATGCATTCTACTTTAGATATTTTGAAATATTTCTGCAGTATTACAGGGACCACTAAGCACACAGGTCGAGCCAATAAGGTACGGCTAATGCTGCAGACGGTATGCGTGATCATGGCTAAAAAAAATTATTCTTCAATTCTGACCAAAATGTAAGTGAAATACATGAAATCAAACATTTATTTAATCAAATAAAGAGCTGTTGAGGACAGTGTGCTTGGTGTAAACTGTATAACAATCAGGTGAATTTCATTTTGCCAATTTCATGGAAAATTTCCATTAAATTTTCTTCTGTACTCATGGAAAATTTCAATCCTTTACAGTTGAACCAAACACTCCAACTGGAAACACCTTGCGTTGGATGATTTCAGCTCCTTCTTCCACCTGTCAAGCAAAACTGTGTCCAAGTGAAACAAGCAGACCTTGTGAGAGGCCCCATCTAATGCTGACTAAGCCATTAAAAAACACTACACAGTGAAGTAATATGAGAGAACATTAATCCTGCACAACGACACTTTAACCAGTAATCTATCCTAAACTGTTCTTGAGAAATGATCACACCTAACAGAAAGCAATTGTTTCTTTTGGTTGACTTGAGTTAAAATGATTGTGTTTGCTTTGGCAGCTTTCTACAAAAGATTTATGCCCCGAGAAAACAGTTCAGTGAAAACGCATTTTTATATTCCATGCAACTCCCTTTTAACATGTCCCGGCACGAGAAAGATCTGTTTCATATCTGTGTTTTGATCGTAGCTAGCTACTTACGATATGTAACAATAAAGGTAGGCAGAATGGGATTTATCTGCGTTGCAGTACCAGCTGGGTGGATCTACTGGTGGTTGTGTGGACTCTAGCGTGTGTGCGTGTGAGGGAGACAGCGAGAGACAAAAGAGAGAGGGGAAGCCGGCATGTGCTTCTGTTTATCCGTGCATAACAGAAGTCTCTTGACTTCAGTTGCTTATTTTGCGAGATAATCTGTCCTTGTGTTCTACATCAACAGCCTTACAAAGTTATTTCAGGCTCAAAAACACAGCAAGACTTTCCATTTTGTCCCAAAGGTTTCAATGCACGCGTTTGGGGCCAACAGGCAAAGACGCTCAACTCGTCAGTGAAACATTTACCCTGTAACACTTTGACCTCACATGTCACACAATGAAATTTCGCTTTCTATCTCATTATCATTTGAGTCGTAATCACCTTTTATTGCCTAGGTGGAGCGCTTTGAATGGCGACGTCTGTCCAACAGCGTGCTGTGGGAAAACTGAACGGCTGACTTTTATGACTGTTTTCAGCTTTACTTAGAATTTGGACTCACTCTTTCATGATAAGATTCAAATTGCTATGCAAAATGACGAAGTGGGTGGTACCGGCTCACCTTGAGGTGTCCGGCGTGCATGTTGGCCCTCCGACACATGGCCAAGAAATGAGGTAGCGTTGCACGCTCCAGCAGGATGTAAACAGAAACTCTCCTTTTGAAACCAGCATCAAGCAAATCTCTGAAGATGTCGACATCAGTGAAGACGTCCATCACCACTGCGATTACCTGGAGACGCAGAAGCACAGGCACAGAACCTAGATCAGCCTCAGATACTCCTATGTAGTTCATGCATGAAAATGAAAACAAAATTCATTACAGAGCAGAAGGATAAAAGCCTCAGCCTTAAGGTTACTGCGCGGACACATTTTTATGCCAAAACAAATAACACTCAAGTTGTTTTTCAGGTTTAAGTAAAATAAGTGTTTCCTATGCAGAGGGAAAGTTCTCCCAGCTCTCACAGCTACTTATACAACCGATAACTCGTTTTCTGTCTGAAGCTCTTGAGGAAAATGATCCAGCGAGCTCGTTTCAGGCAAATAACACGTCACAGAGAAGTGATGCTAAGAAATAAGACATGTCATAAATTTCTGCCTCCAGATGACTCAGCCGCATAAACAGACACAAACACTGACTGATAGGCATGAGCGCTGCAAATTACCCATGCAAATACCCCACCTAGCACACATAGTCCACTGTTAGTGGCCTAGCTGATAATGGCCATAAATCAAGCTGCACTTTACTCATTTGGTCAGCAGTCTGTAGTCTGACTATACTGACTTCTTTAGACTTTATGCCAGCACTGTGGGTAATTTCAGGACTATGCACAGCTGATTAAAGAAAAAAAAAGTTAGTTAGATGGCTAGAAATCAATATTTTCGGATTTTTATTCAGTCATTAAATGAACTCAGGTGAGTAAACATTGGCATGCTTTGAAGATGAACCAACACACAAGTCATCCAGGAAGCTCAAAACACACATAAATATTGATGAGAAAACAAAGTTTTCATCCGCACTTAAACATGGTTATTTTTATATATTATTTAATGCACAATGTGATGATGAATAGTGCCATTTAATATTATCATAACTGCATTGGCCCACCTACCTTTTGCGCCTGTGCGATCATTTTTCTGACAACCTCTTTGATGTGAGCGTGACCATCCAGCGGCGGCTGCGTGTACACCGTAGCGCGCGTCACCCCCCGGTACGCATCGCTGTCGGGCCAGCCCAGGTCCATCTGCGGGATGGACGTGTCCGACAGCTCTGGCCAGTAGTGAAGCGACAGCGGGGTCTGCACGTCTTCGGCATCCCCCGAGAACAGCTCCAAGCCCGGGTCATAGGGTTCGACGGCGCCGGTGAGAGCTTCCAGCTCCGGGTCTGAGAGGAAACCCCGGAGGCCGCGAGCCTCCAGGTATTTAAAGAACGCCTCGCGACCATCCCGCAGGAGAGCCTCCAGCGCGAGCCGCTGGTCCTCACAGTAGAAGAACTCGGGCTTGGACTCGTGCGTCCGCGGGTTCACGTGGTTATCATCCAGGCACTGAAGCTGGGATAGAGCCATGTCGCGAGCCCGAAATAGTTAACTGAAAAAAAAACAGCAATACAACTTTCATGAACCACCCAGTTCTACGAGGCAGTTCTCCAAAACGTCTCCAGACTTTGGCTGAAGACAGACGCACCTGTGTGCTTTAATTCCTCGCGTTTCTTTAAAAGAGCTGAGCAGCTTAGCTCGAGGTCTGGTAAATATCTTTCATCGTGTCGCCTGCTTCGGTCAGCGCTATAATTCCGCTGGTCAGCCATAATGCATTAACACTGAGCCATTGTTACTACCAAGCTGAAAGGCTACCCGGCAAGAGAGAAAGTAAATAATGAGCGACATGCTGCCTGCGGCACCGCCCGACAGGTGTGACCTTAACAGGCAAAACACACCTACCCACACGCTTTCAGAAAAAGGCAGACCTTTATCACGTGACCTCCAGGGCTTCCCAGTTTTATGAAGTGTTGCAGCGCTGGCAGCAGGAAGATGTCCATCCCTCGATTTGTCCATTAAATCATTTAGAGTGAAAACCATCAGCGGATCATACATAGCTGTTTTACCTGTTCTGTCATGTTTTTTTTTTTCTTATTTAACTTCCTGCCAGGATGGAAAAGCCCCAGCTTGTGTTTTGTAAAGATCAAATTGAAGCACATAATTACTTTAAAGAAAGACTAAAATATGACGGTGAGATCAAAGCGGGATTAATAAGATGTAAAATATCACTGAGGGGCAATAGGTACATGCACCATTAAGTTTTTGTTTTTGGTTTGTTTGGGTTTTTTTCTCCTGGTGTCTGTGTTTTCAACCACAAACTTTAGCGTCTCCTGCCTTGTGCACTATGTTTCTGACCTCTGACCTGCACAGAACATGTTGAATAAGAGTTGCAAATAAATTCCCAAATAATTAAAACATTTAGATTTACGCAACCCTTTACAAAACGAAGAACAAGTCTTCACAACCACCGCCAATCAAATGTGTTGCCTCAAGACTTTTATGATCGTTATATCTCTTTTATCAAATAATAACTTCATTTGAACTGCATCTAATACCAGAAACATAGTACCTCGTTGTCAGTAGATTATAGTGACAGGGCAGCCCAGTTACATCTATAAGCATGCATGTGATGTTATTACTGTGTAAGAACAAAGAGATTGCAGTCAAGGCTGAAATTTACTTTTCAGCAGGGAGGTGTTCTCGCCTACAGCTCACTGTTTCTGTTTTTAATGCAGAGCAGGCCTGATGCAGATGCTCAAACTAGAAGTCTGCACATTGCAACCTAAAGAACAATGACGCTTAGAATCAGGCAATGGCGGTATCGCAACATTTCTGGGCACGAAATTTAAACCACTGCTTGTGGTTTTGGGAGAGGCTATACCGTGAGATATTTAGCAATGATTTGTTGATAGCGCTGCAGATTCCACACACAATTTTACTCCAACTCTGGCTAATGATCAGTTTTCAAACCTCTAAAAGATTTATTATTTTAGTGAGCTAAAATGAAATAAAATTGAAAGATTGGACAGATGGATAAACTAAACAGTGTTTTTCACGCCTAGTTTTAGTTTTTAGTTTGGTTAACTGCAATAACATTGATGCAGTCAGAAAAAGAAGTACACCCTCGGTCAGTTTTAGTATCAGGACACAATAAAGTCAAGAGTTAATTTTTTTATTTTTTTTAAATGGATCTAAAATGTTGCAATAATGTGTGAAAAAACAAATGCGCCCCACGATTCAGTAGCTTCTATAACCACATGCAGCAATAACTCGGAATAATGGTTTCCTGTATGATTTTATCAGTGTCTTGCTGTGCAAGTCCACTTTTGTTTACAGCATTGCTTCAATTCAGTAACCTCATGTTGACATTTGATCTTTGAGTGGGTCATTGCAACACCGTTAGTAGAAAAATAGCCTCATTTGACTCCAGAATACCTTGGTATACAAACAAGTTCATGGAGTTCATGGTCTGCAACGTCCCAAATCATCACCCCTCCACCACCGTGCTTGACACAGTTCATTTGTGCTGTTTGTGCTGATATGCTGTTATGTTTACTTTTCTCCATACACAATGCTGTGTATTACAGTCAAACAGCTTCATTTTAATCTTGTTGTGATTTCTAACTTTGCAAACCTAAGCTGCACTGCCATGTTGATTTTAGAGAAAAGAGGCTTTCTTTTGGCATCTCTTCCAAACAAGTCATACTTTTTCAGTCTTTTTCTAATTGTCCTGTCATGAACTTTAACATTTAACATGCTAACTGAGGCCAGTAGAGTCTGAGAGGTACTCTTAGGCTTTTTTGCAGTTTCTCTGAGCATTGCATGGTTTGACCTTGGGGTGAACATGCTGGGATGTGCACTCCTGAGAAGACTGGCAACGCTCTTGAATGACTTCCACTTGTGAATAATCTTTCTCACTGTAGACTTCAAATTGGAACCCTTTCCCGATTGATGTCTAAGATCATCACTGATGTGTCAGTGCAGCACCTGAAAAACTGCCCGAACTTCTGCTTTCATAGGGGGGCTCACACTTGCTGGCGAGCAGTCGATCAAAAGTGTTTTTTTAGACCTTTAAGGACAGGATGATTTTTAATTATTTCCTACATTTGATTTTGCTCTGAATTGCAGTCATTTTAACTGACATGGACTCTCCAGGTGTGTATAAAGCCTGATATTATCCCTGCATGATTTGGGTGTTCCAAAGAGCTCAGTCATCCACTGTGAAACGCCCGTCTGCCTTCTTGTTCATTGTGGCTGAGGTCACGTGACTGTGGAGGAAAATCAGCGACAGTCAGCACTCCTTGGTCTTCGTTGGTGTCAAAGTTGGAGTGCAAACCAGGCGTTAGAGCATGTCTCTGAAGAATGGAGAGCTACTTCTTGTGGGTCAAACTTCAGAGCATAGTACAAAAAAACCTGCAGACTTGAATATCATTCACTGCAGAGTAGATATGCTTCATCCTCTCCCCTTTACCGATCCATCAGTCAATACAACATTACAACATCCACTGTGAAACGCTTGCCTGCTTATCATTCCTTCCTTTCTTACTTCATGAGATAAATATTCCATCGCATTCACACTTCTATCAGTGTTTTCATATAAAGACGGTCTCTCTATACTGTATAATCCAAGCTTTCTTTATGCCGGACTGTCAGGTGGATGTCAGGTGTAAAGGTGAGTATAGTGAGTGATGACTCATCTCGTCTTTCACTCCCAGACTGGCTGCATTTGACCCATTAGTTTAGTAAACTGTTTTTCTGGTTCGCAGGATGTTTGACCAGTTTCCCTTCACTCCGTGGTCTAACCAGCCAGGGGCCAGTAAGTCAGTCAAACTGGTTCCTCTGTTTCAGTGTTTTTACTGTTCACACCTGTAAATAGCTTTGATGTAAGAGCTCACACACCTTCCTCAGCCGTTTGCTGTTTAACCATCAACCTCGACTGAGAGACCGACACTTGTCCCTCACACTGCCTCCTCATCTCTCATCAGTAATCTGGTTCATCCTGTGTTCTTTTCTACCATCTATCTTGTCCCGTTTCACCGTGACACAAATATGTCACTATAGAAATCTTGGCATCTCTCTCACACACACTTACACACAAACCTTATCCCTTCATCCACAACTCAGACACTTCAAAGTGACTCAGCAGTTTTAAAAAAGATCAGAGGGAGAAAACAGCAGTGCTATTTCTGGTACACCTTTAACTCCTTTTCTTCTTTCCCCCCGTTGGATTGCGGTAGCTTATTGACTAACTGTCAGTGACAAGCCAGGGATGACTCTGTCAGGAAGAATGAAAATAGAGGTTTGTTAGAACAAAAGCAGTGACAAGAGAGTGAAAGGCAACAGAAGTGATTGAGAGCAGAGGAATGGTCAAACGTAACCCAGTTTACCAGCTTCATGTCAAACATTACAGTGTGGTGAGAGAAGCGGCTCTGCATTCCTTACATAACGGCGGCCGAATGTCAGCGCAAAACTGTCCTTAACATCGGTGACGTGATGCGTTATCGCACAGATCTATTATTATGTTGACAGAATTACATGCCAGTGAGGCGTCTCCTGGCACAGGATACAATAAGACCATAAAATGAGCAAGTGTTGTAAAACTCTAATTACCATAAAAGTAACATGTACATATTTGTTGACACTTTTATAAAATACACCTAAAAGACAAGTAACAACTCTTTTAACTTGACTAGAATTTCATGTTTAGGTTGTGTGGATATGTACATGGATATGTTTTCCTCTTTAAGAGAGTTTTAGACACGTCTAAAGTGATTCTAGTTTTTTAGTTCCTTTTTGTTAACCAGGGTTTGATTTACTCAATCATAATACCAATTTTTGTTTAATCAGAGAGATCAAGCTTTATTGTATTGCCCGTTGTGCTCAGTGTCCACTCAAAAATGTATTAAGATCCAGGAAAAACTAGTAGATTGGCACGCTACAGTAGCTTTTCCTGTTGATGCAGTTAACAAGCTGATGTACTTAATCAGACTGAGAAAACTTTAAAAAAGATAGATGTTGTTTATATGTTAAAAGCGGGTCATTATATTCCCTTGCAATAGATACCGACCTTCGGGGGCCCAAGATGTACCTGTGTGCCAAGTTTGGTTACTCAGCTCCTGATGGTCTATGAGGAATTAATGGACAAAGAAACAAACAAACAGAGAGACAGCCCTTATTATTATTATTATTATTATTATTATTATTATTATTATTATTATTATTATTATTATCTGAATTTAATATAATTATATTAATTAATAATTATATCATTTAATTTACTGAAATTGTGATGAATATGCTGTGTACATATGAAAATAATGCCCCTGGAATTTTGCTGTTTGACATTAAACAGAAGAAAGACTCATAGTGGACTCTATTTGACCGGGAGCATTTCCATAACTTTTAAGTGTGGAGGCACAGGGCAGACCAACAATGGTGCTTGGAGGTAGCAGGGAGGATCAAAATGCTTAGTATATTACTTATTAATATTTAATAAGTTTAGAAAATTTATGTACAAACCACAGTTTTTAAGCTCATATGTGGCCCTACCTCCAGATTTATTATGTAAAAAGTGGAGCTGCATCAGAATTTAAACCTAATCTTTTGATGGATAGCTGAAAAAAGTTATAAAATTATAATTTTACTTACATGGCATAATAATTCACTGGTTACATATTCAAACATGTTTAAAATACCTAATACCTAAAGTCATGTGAAATAAAAACAAATCAGAATCATATACATGATATTATTGGATTTTAATTATTGATTTATTCATGTGTATGTTCCTTTAATGTTGTTCAACATCTTGGGCTATAAAACTGAAGTTAATCTGTAAAAATGATAAGTATCTAAAACTTTAAATTATATAGCGTTGGGCACAAAATGCAATAATTGCATTCAAAATATGGAGTAATCTAAAGTAAAAGCCGAAAGTAGCATAACATTGAAATACTCAAAGTACAAGTACATTAAATCTGTTAAATTTAATTGACCATTTAATTAAATGGTTTGGGGGATTGTGAGATTAGCAGTGCTACAATGGCTTTGGTAGAGGGAACTTCAGGATAAAACTGATTATAAAAATAAAAAAAAAGGGGGAGGGGGGGAATAGCACCAACAAAACTGATCAAGATCACAGCAAATTATGGCACATGTGACCTTTTCATTAAAAAGAACACAAGTTCATACACACTAAAAGCAGATACAGTAAATACCAAATAAAGTCCAAGCTTCAGGGCTCAAAGATGTGAATGTATCACTTTATTTCAATGATTTTGTTACAGGATAAGGAAGACCGATCCAAGTTCTTGCTGTCAGTCACATGAAGTTTGTTCCTCTTAAGCAACTGCAACAGTTTCAACAGAAGCAAAACATGTATACAATGTTTAAATTCACTTGCAGTATATGTATTTTAAGATCACACGTGGATAAGAATAAATACTCAAGAACAAATGATTGATCAGTAAATTGAGTTGAGCATGTTACATTTTAAGCAGCGCGTTTTTCTTCTTTTTTTGTATTAACAAAGCGATGTCGGGGCAGTGTTCGTCTTACTGTCACACTGTAACACAGTGACTCCTTTCACTGGTCCACTGAGCACGCTCAAACACACACACGCACACACACATATATACGCGCACACAGATACAATCAACACAATCAACACACTTCTCACTCCCTCATCGTCACACAACATGCATATATGTATGTAAAGACTGCAGCTTTACATCTGTACAGACACCCCCCCCACACACACACACACACCAGCTCAGTGACAGAGGAATCTGCTGTGTCAGTATCCTCTAAGTGTTCACACTCACAATGACTTTCTGTGTCTTTCTGTCCAGCTCCCGGTGAAAAGGATGGCAAAATACTGGAGTAAATGAGCCAGAGAGCAAGCCTGCCCTTCCTTCAGGAGTTTTCATGGGCCACACACTTTTCCCCTCAGTTTAGTGTTTATGTGTGTTACTTTTCTAAAAGAGATGGTAAGCTGTAATAAATGATTATAACTGGGAGTATGTATGACTTTGAATATATGTGAGAGTTCTCCACAGTGTAAAGGTCCATGTCTGGATCGGAGGAGAAAGTGGAGTCTTCAGGATCAGATGATCAGATGAGCCTGCAGCAAAGGCTGATTTAAAGGGCGACATCACAGGGGGCATTGGGAGGAATCAGTTTAGGGAACGGGTCGTTCAGTGGTAGCTCCGTCGTTTGCTCCAGGAAGTTGACGGGCGAGTGCAGAGCGGGGGAGCAGCGTGAGTGTCTTTCAGGATGGCTCGTCGGTGAACCCGAAGGAATGGCCGTGCGCTTGTTTGACACGAGGTCAGGTCACTGGCAGTGATAAATGGGCTGGACGTACTCTGGAGGGAAGTAGCCCACGCGTCCATGGCAACGGCCCCTCCAGCGCACCGAATCAGAGCAGTCAATGAGTTCAATGACATCACCACGCAGGAAGCGTAGCTGGGACGGGTGGTGCGGGGTGAAGTCGAAGACAGCTTGGGCATGATGGGAACGCTGTGGGTCAGGAGGGAGAGAGGGAACGGGAGGGAGGGGAGGAGGGAAAAAAAAGAGAGTTAATCACACATTTTCATCACAACAGTAAGTTAATACCCAGTTATTGGGTCAAAGAAAATACTAAAAGTAACCCACCCCTGTGTTGGAGACAGCTATCAAGCTATATAAGATTTACACATTAGCCCGGGGAAGTGAACCTTAAAGCCAGAATTGGCCCAACAAAGACTCCAGTATAAAGTATAAATGCAAATATTATACAAAATTTTAAAATGAAAGAATTTCTGTATTCTGAATTTTTTAAAGATTTTTTTGTATATTTTTCTTCAACCACACATTTGCCATTTACCGAAGCCTCTGTTAAAAAACAGGTAGAAAATGACTGTTTTTGTTGTTGTTGTTGTTGTTTGTTTGTTTTTTACATTTTTTATAGTGTGGACAAGTGAGCTACCAGAACTCTTTCTGTCAGTTTACACTTTAAAGTCCAAAGAGTCATAATGACAGTCTTCTTTCACTGATATAACAAACTATTATGACTGAACTTCTTTTTCTTAAATTAAAATATCTCTGGGATTAAATGTGCAGTTAAACTTCTGTACAGTCACAGAAAGGGGAGTTTCACTGGCCTGCTTAAGTAGGCTGCATGTGGCCCACGATGTAAAATGAGTTTGACATCCCTGTATTAGAAAATGAGAGATGAGGCCTTTTCATCGCACAATATAAAGACACCACATGTCAAATGTCAATGAAGCTCTTTTTTACCAATTCAATCCAGAAACAAAGAACATGAATGCTACTTTTCTATTTTTAAAAAGCTGGAAAGGAGGCAGTAAGCTTCTGTAATCCAACATCTCCCACATAAAATGAGTCATAACACACCGGTGCAATGTGTGTAGCATTCAGTGGGGTTACGCTGTAGCAGCATGGTGTTATTTGCATGTGACGGTCAAATATGTTACTCGTCAAATGAGGGGGTTGTAGAGTTATTAACGTGTTTATCTCGCTACGTTTAGATGGCTGCAGAAACCAAATCAACTTAATGTCCTGCAAAAGACAGATGTTTCATGCTGATTTAATATCACAGCCAGTTTTGGGTTACCTTTGTTTTTTTATCAGTGACTCCCAAAAATATGTCTTTCTTTATGTTAAAGTAATATTTATACATACCAGTGCGTTTTCTGCTTATCATCAGGATATAAGATTATAGAAAAAAAATAGAGCACACAGTTTACAAGGGCTAGTTTGGAAATTTCTCCACTACACGAGCTTAAAATGAATGTTGGTCAATAAGGTTCGCTGGTCTTATCTCCTAAAGGCTTTGAGAGGTATTATTTAATTCACCAGCCACAATCTAGACGGTGAATTTTTAAAGTGAGCGCAGTTTCTTTGAAGCAGGAGGCCAAACAAAACAAGAAAAAGAATACGAGCTCCAAAGAGATGAAATAAGTCTTGGTAAATATGAAAAAACAGTCTATGTATTCACACATTCATACAGAGCACGCACTTGGTGACAGCAGGAAGGAAAAACTCCCTTTTAACAGGAGAACCCTCCACCAGAAGAAGGCTAAGGGAGGGACAGCCATCTGCTACGACCGGCTGATGTTGAGGGGTGAGAGATTAATAATAACTAATGATTACATGTACAGTAGTGTGTAAGCACCTAGAGAGTGAAAAGAGTTGAATGAAGAAGAAACACTGTCCATCATGGGAAGTACCCATCAACCTAGGCCTATTGCAGTGTATCTAAGTGAGGACTCAGGGGTAGCTGAGCCCTGATTATGAGAGCTTTGTATCCTGAATCCAATCTGGGAGCTGAATTCTCTGCTCCCCATTCTACTTTTAAGTATCCTAGAAACTGTTAGTAAGCCTGCAGTCTGGGAGCAAAATTCTTTATTAGGGTGATACAGTACTATCAGGACCAGGGAAACAACTAGATCTATCCAAGAGTAGCATATGCTAATGGACAGATACTTATATAGCACCTTCCACTACAGCTACAACTACACTACAACAACTCTCATTCACCCAATCACACACACTACTTCTGGTACTTCAGCTTCTTCCCACAGTCCAAAGACATGCATGGGGTTAGGATAAATGGCTAAATTGGCCATATGCATGAAAGTAATGTGACTTGTTGACTTGTTGTTTGTCTCTCAGTGTTGTTCCTGTGTTAGACTGGAGTACAGTCCAAGGTGTACTCCCTCTCTTGTCCTATGACAGCTGGGATAGGACGGTGACCTGAAGGTGAAACTGATGAAAATGAATGGGTGGCTGGTTTTGTTTCGAGGGCTTCAAGGACTTGTGATACTGAGAAAGTGATGGAAGCTGTAAAGAAAACCATGCGTGTAGGGCATATTTTCAAGGGGAGAGCGAGTACAGACACACAGCGATGTTAGAAAGGACCTAACAGACAGAAAAACAAAGAACATGCTGCTTACTTCCACTCCAGACACACCACTAATCTGGCCCTGTTGGGTTTAAAGTTACCATTCTGACACATTCCACTTTCTTTACCCTTCGATTCTCAGACTGTCCTTACCTGACAGCAGGTTAATATCAATGAGGCAAGATATTTTAGATTGCTGTGACACTTTTATGGTGATGAACATCATGTGCTTTGCATAAAATTCTCATTATGCGCACCTTCGTGAAGCATGAAAATCACTTCGCGCCACTCTTCTCCTCAAAAGCCTTGTTTAGCGTTGGGTTTTATCCGATATTTAAATCGAGTAAATGGTAGATTTTAGTTTCTTTTGGTCATAAAAGAGAAACACAGAGGGATGGGTATGCAACGGAGAGGTGCTATCAGTCCAGAATGATGAGTGTAATAAACACACATGCCCACTAAAAATAACAACAACAAACAACACTTATAATGCTTGTCGCTGTGATGTTTGATGGCAATCCAGGGCAAGGGGAGCCGCTTTAAATTCAGCCCTCAGATTCTCCTCTCTCTTCCTCAAGATGTTTTTCTTTGAGTTCACAAAAGTACTGTTTTTCTTCTCCCTCGATCGCCGGCCTCCTCTGATCGCTGCTGACTCGTGAAGTAAAAGCAGTTTAAGAGTGGCAGAACAAAAGTGGCTATTTTAAGGAGAGAGGCTCGAACTTAACTAACCCGGCTATCACTGGCGCTCCCACAGAAGAAGGTGGATGTGATGTGAACTGCGAGGGAGCGGGGAGGCTGCAATGAATACCAATATTGTTTTTTATATGTAGGTGCGTAGATATCTATGTTGCAATTCTGGGCTTTTTTATTGTGGACTGCTTTATCTTAGAGTAAGGCCCAATAAAATGACATCCAAGTAGCGGTAGGCACACAAAACATGTACACAGTTACAAACAAGTACATGCACTAACTAGACAGTGGGATTAGGATCAAGAAACCCAGACAGAATCCATCAGGCCTGCAAATCTATAAAATCCTCACAGTCTTATGATTTATTGTTTCACTGATCTAGTCGAGACTTCTAGTTTGTGTGGGTTGCACAAGAAGAACCCTTTCATTCTTGTTCTCTCTTGTAAAGACAAATACAATCCATGTATCCTTGTGATTAGGGTTGACTCTACCGCCTAAGAGAGCACTGACAGTACAGCTTTTGCTAGTTCCCTTGTGCACAGAATGCAACGAAAATTCCTCCAATACTGCTTGTTTGCCCCTTTGCACAAGGTCCAAGTTATCCAGGGTAAAAGGGAAGGCTTTGCAACACAAGGACATGAGGATATTAAGGGATGTGTTAGGAGAATTATTTCCTATTCTGCCATACTGAGATAAGAAGCTATCAAGAGCCATGTAATGAGCTGATGTGGAATTAGTTTGGGAAGACAAACCAAACAATAGGAGGGTCAACACACACACACACACACACACACACACACACACACACACACACACACACACACACACATACAAAAAAAACACCATGGTGCAACATGATTCAAGGACTCACAAGTGCTCAACACACTCGGTTCACGTCTGTGAAACTGACCTATTTAGTCGAACACAAAAAGTAAGAGAAACACTGAACACAATCTTTTCATAACCTCGTCTTTCTTTATAATCTAAATGGTTAAAGGGGGGGAATGAACAGTTTTTTTCTTTGTATTCTTATTTCTTTTATGAAAGAAAAAGAAGTGATGCTGTGAAGAAGTGGATACTGAATACTGTTAATATTTCAGAGCTTTGAGCGTGCACATCAAGCTCACAAAGAAGAAAGAGCTGCTGAGCAAATACACAAGAACGTGCCAGACTGTTTATTTGCCAGTTTGCCATATTGTTGTCTGGTTAACTGGTCTTTAGGGCAAATTTCTTTCATTTAGTATTTTCTTTGGGGGTTTTTTCTTCTCCAAAAACGGCACAGAGTATTTTGTAGCTCACACAATTCTGTCCACAGTGGCACCTCGGAGATGCTTAAGAGTCCTTCTCATGATCAAAACCCAAATAGAAACCCTAAATATGGTTTTGCCACCATAACCAGGTTAAGTCATTCATCAAACAATCTTTTCTCCAAGAGAAGTAAAGCGTGAGTTGTATGACCGTGTGCAAACGCTGCCAGTGGAAGACGCTGGGTGTTGGAGCTTTGTTGATGCCCAAGGCCAAGGCGCGAAGACCAGCTGACTGTGATTTTATATAGCTTGACGGTGAAAAAGCCAGATGGGTCCAAAGCTAATATCAATGTTTCATGTGTGCTTTTAATCTGCGCATCTACCTACTGGGAAACCAAGCCCACTGATGAAGAAGAATTGAAGATAACTGGATACGGATGGAGCCAGTGCAGAAATGATCGGCTGGTGTTTACATGATTGCATCTCTCTTTTTCCCCCCCACCTTTGATCCTCTCACAGATTAAATTGTAAAGAAGTAGAAGGCTGTAGAAATACATTATGTTTATGGAGATTCAATGCTAAGGAAAGCTCTCCACAGACAGGCACAGAAAATACACCTTAAAGCTCAAATTAAAACAGTAAACACATATGGAGACATAAAGAACTGACTAAGCTGC